TAGGAGCATACGTAAAACACATGGGATTGGAGCCACTCCTGTTGCCTTCTGAGGCCTCCTGCTCCTGGGGCCTCTCGGGGCCTCCTGTTGCCTTCCGAGGCCTCCTGGCGCTTCCTGTTGTCTCCTGGGGTCTCCTGTGGTTTCCTGAGGCCTTCTGGAGCTTCCTGGGGCCTCCTGGAGCCTCTTGGGACATCCTGTGGCCTCTTGAGTCTTTCTGTGGCCTCCTGATGCCTCCTGGGACCTCATGTGGTCTCCTGGAGCCTCCTGGAGCCTGTTGGAGCCTCCTGTGGCATCCTGAGAAGAATCTGCGCCCACGAGCCTGGCCACCAAAACTAGCAAACCGATCGAGACATCCTCAAAATCTGGCCCACCTGGGGTGTGAAAATGAGCGCCTCGCTCGAGACATCCTCCAAATCTGCTCCGAAAGCGAAGGATGTTGGGCACAGAAACAGGCAAACCGCCTGAGACATCCCCACAAAATGGCCGCGAACGAGCCCGTGCAACCACCCCTGGCGGCTCCCCTTAGGGGTGCTGAAATGAGCGCCTCGCTCGAGACATCCTCCAAATCTGCTCCGAAAGCGAAGGATGTTGGGCACAGAAACAGGCAAACCGCCTGAGACATCCCCACAAAATGGCCGCGAACGAGCCCGTGCAACCACCCCTGGCGGCTCCCCTTAGGGGTGCTGAAATGAGCGCCTCGCTCGAGACATCCTCCAAATCTGCTCCGAAAGCGAAGGATGTTGGGCACAGAAACAGGCAAACCGCCTGAGACATCCCCACAAAATGGCCGCGAACGAGCCCGTGCAACCACCCCTGGCGGCTCCCCTTAGGGGTGCTGAAATGAGCGCCTCGCTCGAGACATCCTCCAAATCTGCTCCGAAAGCGAAGGATGTTGGGCACAGAAACAGGCAAACCGCCTGAGACATCCCCACAAAATGGCCGCGAACGAGCCCGTGCAACCACCCCTGGCGGCTCCCCTTAGGGGTGCTGAAATGAGCGCCTCGCTCGAGACATCCTCCAAATCTGCTCCGAAAGCGAAGGATGTTGGGCACAGAAACAGGCAAACCGCCTGAGACATCCCCACAAAATGGCCGCGAACGAGCCCGTGCAACCACCCCTGGCGGCTCCCCTTAGGGGTGCTGAGTATGAGTAAGTCTGTGTATGAGTAAGTCTGTGTATGTGTACGTCTGGGTATGACTAATACTGTGTATGAGTAAGTCTGTGTATGAGTAAGTCTGTATATGAGTATGTCTGAGTGTGAGTAAGTCTGAGTATGAGTAGGTCTGAGTATGAGTAAGTCTGAGTATGAGTAAGTCTGTGTATGAGCAAGTCTGAGTATGTCCGACAGGAGGGGAGGAGAAAGGAGGAGGAAGGAGGAGTAGGAGGCGTCCAAGTCATAACAAGAACCCCATCTTAGGATATGGGGAAAAAGATGGCCCAAGACGCTCCCAAGAAACCCAATTCAGCCTTCCGACGGCTCTCGAGACTCCCAGGTGGCCTCCAAGAGACCCCAAGAGAGGTCCGAGAGGCGTCCCAGGACGGCCCGAAAAGGCAAAAATCGTCGATTTAAATTGGTTGTTCTCACTGTTTTTAGCTTCTCGCGTTTTCGAGCTTCCAACGGTCCAAGAGCGCCGAAGAGGCTCACAAGACCGCCCCAAGGCCACCCAAGAGACCCTCAGGACGGCCCTAAAACGGGCCAAGAAGGCTCCAAGACTGCCGAAGAGGCGCCCAGGACAGCCCCAGACCACCCCAGAACAGGCACACGATGGGCCCAAGAGCGGGAGCAGGAGGCTTCCAGAGACCTCAGAGGTTTCCGGGGCCCCCCAGAGGCCCCCAACACACCCCCGATCCTTGAGAGGCCCCAAAAAGACCCCGACGAGGTTCCAAGAACAGCCCAAGAGAACTGCGAGAGCCGTCCCGAAAGAGCCCAAACAGGGTAAAATCGTTGATTTCCTGCTTCCAACCCTCGAAGATCGAAGATTTTGAAGAAAAAACATAATTTCTAGAATTCTTTTTTTTCCAAAGTGGGACTCCTACTCGGGGGTCCTGCACATCCCCTGACATCTGGCCGGTACCGCGCCTTCCGGCTTCCCGGGGGGAGACCCCAAGACGCCGAAGGACAGCCCATGACAACCCCAAGAAAGTCCCAGAACGTAAAGAACGGCCCAAGACGCTCCCAAGCAGTCCAAAACACCCTGTGGACGGCTCGACGCGCTCCCAGGAAGCCTCCAAAAGGCCACAATAGAAGTCCGAGAGGCGTCCCGGAGGCCAAAATCGTCGATTTTGATTGTTTTGTTTATGTTTTTGGCCTTCTCGGTTTTCGAGCTTCCAACGGTCCAAGACCGCCCCGAAACCGCCCACGCCCAAGACGCTCCCAAGCAGTCCAAGACACCCTGTGGACGGCTCTCCACGCTCCCGGGAGGCCTCCAAAAGGCCCCAAGAGAGGTCCGAGAGGCGTCCCAGGAAGCCCGAAGATGCCAAAATCGTCGATGTTGATGTTTTTCTATGTTTTTGGCCTTCTCGCGTTTTCAAGTTTCCAACGGTCCAAGACCGCCCCAAGACCGCCCAGAAGACTCCCAGGACGGGTCCAATACGGGCCAAGAACCCCCCAGAATTGCCGAAGAGGCGCCTCCACGGGAGTCCCTGGACGCAAGAAGCGATCAAAATGAGATGACTTGAGTTAGCCTAGCTAGAACTTGAGCGCGCGCGATGTTTCTAGAAACATGTATTTATTTATGTATTTATTTATTTGTTTACTTATTTATGTATTTATTTATGTATGGATTGTTTTATTTATTTATTTATTTACTTATTTATTTATTTATTTATTTATTTATTTATTTGTTTATTTATGTATTTATTTGTTTATGTTTTTTATTTATTTATTTATTTATTCATTTATTCATTTATTCATTTATTTTATTTATTTATTTATTTATTTTATTTATTTATTTATTTATTTAGTTATGTAGTTATTTATTTATTATATATATATATATATATAAGACGGCATTGGCGTTTCGCGCCATGCACCTTGGTCCGTGGAGTTTGGTATGCAGGCGGAATGGCAGGAATCAAGCCGAAAATTTAGCGATAAGTTCTTGTTGCCTTTTCCGGCATCGCCGTTATACTAATGTTTTTTGTTATTGTGATTCCATATGTCCCTCAGTATCGCTATACCCTGCGTAGTCTCCCCATCCTCCTCAGCTCTTTTTGCAGAGGTTCCTCCTTGGAGAGCCTCTGGGGGCCTCGCAAAAGGTTTTCAGGCTTTCTTAAGGCCTTCTGGAGGCTTCCTGGGCGTCTTCTGAGGGCCTCTGGGGGCTTCCTCTGGCCACCCTGCCTCCATCCAAGGTCTCCCTGAACTACCAGGCCACGATTTGGAATGCTTCGGAGGGTGTCTCGGGGCGATCTTTCGCCGTCATGGGGCTCTCTTATGCCATCTTGCAACCTTGTTGTGCCATCTTGGGGCTCTCTTGGACTGCCCGGAAGCCCTTTCGGATGGTTGTGAGGCGATGTTCGAGCCTCTAAGGCGGCTTCGGACGCCCAGAAGACCGCCGTCTTGGAGCGTCGGGAAGCCGAAAAGAAGAGAATCCCAAAATTCACCAAAACTAGCAGAAAATCAATGAATGTTGCCTCTTGGGGCCTGCTTGGGAGTGCTCTTGGAGGCCTCTTGGGAGGAACGATCTTTGGGGGTATGACGGCTTCTTTGGGGTCGTCGTTGACTTTCTTGGGGCTTTTTGGGGTCGCTTCGGGAGCGCGCCAGAGCGCTTGGAGCCCTTTGGGGCCGTCTTCGGGCTCTCGTCTCCCGGGTCGTCTGGATGGTTGCCCGAGAAGCCCGGGGTGGGCCAAATTCGTTTGGGGGTGGGGAGGGGGGCGTTTCTTCCGGGGTCCCCAGCCTTATAATATATGAGTAGGAATATAGGGAGAGTGAGGAAGAGAGAGAGAGAGAGAGAGACACAGTAGACAAAAACATTCATGGCGCAGTTGCACTCCATGCCGAAGCTCCTCAACTTGCAAGACACATTTCGGCTGCGAGCGCTGCGCAGCCACGGGCCTCTCAGCGCGGGCGACGGCTCGGCCTCGTGGGGAGTCGACATGGGCCCCGAAGCCGAGGACGGCGCCAACGGCGCGCAGGACACGAAGCATGCCAAAGGGCACATGGGTCGTGCATGCGCTGCCGCTTCCTGCCATGGGATCTCACGCCCTCCCCAGTGTGGACGGCGCGGAGGGTGTGGTGTCTCCCCCTGGTGCTCTGGGAGATCCGCCCGACCCGCTCGGCCCTGTTGTTGGTGATGCACTTCGAGCCGATCCCTGTGTTTTGGGTTCCTCGGCATCTCTCTCACGATCCTGTAGAAAGGTGTCTTTTTTGGTGACGTCTTTGTCGCCGCCAAGCATGCTGGCTGCACGTTGCTGAGTGAATCGCCTCGCTCCTGTGCAGTTCGTAGCGTGTTTGCAGCCTTCTTTGTTCCTCGAGTGGCGCTCCCTGGTATTGCATGTGTATGAGGGGTTCCTGATGTTGTTTGTGGCTTCCTGTCGCGATCAGAGTGTGGTTCTCGGTCTTGGCGCTGGGTACTGTCACTACGGCATCGTATGTCCTGAAGTTCCTCGTCAGCGCCCTGGTGTCCAGATTGCTCGTCCCCCTATTCGTGGTGTGCATCTTGCTGACACGGCCTGTGCACTCAGGCCGTGGCCAGCCCCACCCACTGGCTAGGAGTGTCGCTGATAGTTTGCCGATGATGTCTAACAGCATCCTTTTTCGCTTCATCCCCCCCTCCGCCTCCCTCTTCTTCGTGGGGGGGCTTCTGCGTGGGGGGGGCCTGAGATCGGACGTCACGAAACAACCGCATCGTGAAACATCACGACAGGAGCCCCAGGCCCCATCCCTCTGCTGCGGCAATCCTCAGACCAGATCGCTCCGTGAGGGCCGCGGAGCCGGAACGAGATCGGGCGAAGACGCCCAGCGTGACAGGAGATTGCGACGCCCGGGGGGGAGTCGACAGGCCGCCCTCGAAGCGTTCGGCGACGATGTGGCCCACGTGGAGGGCGACCTGAGCGGCGGGTTCAACGTGCAGCTGAGCGAACGGTGCGGCGGGGGCACGGCGCCTGCGCGTGCGCGCGCGTGTGTTCGGCAGTGCCGATCCGGGTGATGAGGAGGAGGAAGAGGAGGAGGAAGAGGAGGAGAAGGATCAGGAGGAGGAGGATATGGAGGGGCAGGAGGGGAAAAGGAGGATGAGGAGGACGTGGAGGAGGGGGAAAAGGACCGGAGGGGGGGGGGATTGGGAGAAAGGAAACAAGAATAGGAAGTGGAGAGGATGGTGGACTAGAAGAATGAGGATAATTATGATCATGCTGAAGAGAAGTAGTAGGAGGAGGCGGAAGAGGAACGGAGGTGGGGGGGATGAGATGGAGGATGAGGGCATTCATTTCTTGAGCACGAGCAGAACATTCCGATACAGAATTTGGTTTAAGTATTTCAAGAAACACGGCGAGCTCGCGAAACGCAAGCGAGAACCCTTATTATGTCCCGATGCTTTCACACATTGGGAGGACATGGTATGTGACGTGCCCGACGTGAATTTGAGAATTTGGCAATTGACCAGTGGTCCCAGCAAAAGAGCGGCTTTCTTATTTGAATGGATCGATGCGTGTCGATTGTAAACCGTATGGACTACCCATGGGTGGCTGTAGCACCATCGGGCTGGAGGACGTGAGGATCTACGACCCGCGGGCGTGCAGGGACGGCATTGGCATGAAAGCCAAACACATTGAAAGTAGTCCCAAGAGTCTCAATCAGAGTCTGCATAAGGAGATCAATGTTCTTCAGATGGATCAGTATTAGTATGGGGAACCGCTTCGTTTGTGTATCGAATTGGCAGCCTTTGGTCGAAGGGGTGATGGGCAGGTCTCCGCTCACGAACCCGACGTTAGAGCCAGTTCCCCAGAGAATATTCAGGGGTATCGTAATTATGGTTGATGGAAGCCGGCATGACGCCGCCAGTTCTACGTGAAGATCTTGTTGGTTGGTGTCGTCGATGTTATCACCGCAAAGCAGACCTTTTGGTGAACAGCACCATGGGCATTCAGCATGTTTGGCACGAGATCTTTCCACCAGAACAGCGTTTTCAAGATACGGATGTTGTCCTGGATTCTTTTTGACGGCGGCACAAGGCTGGGCCGCTGCGTGGTTTGTTGAAGTTGAGTTTGACAGAGAGAGTGTGTGAGTTTTGTTTGCGAGACGAGACATTTTGTGATCCCCCTTCCAGTATATTGCTCCTTGGCAGGATTGCTCGCTTTGGAATCATACACAGGGTCCTTGAGAAGATTCTGGGAGTGCAAGTGCAGCGGGTATTGAGGGGGCGGCCATCCCACAATGGTGTTGAGTTGAGGCAGGAGACAAGGAGGAGAAGGAGCATGGACATGGGAGATAGTTGAGGGAAAAGGGGGAGGAGGTGATCATGAGGATGATGGTGAGTGGTAGAACGCAACGGAAGAGGAGAAGTAGGGGCTGGAACCTGAGGAGGAGGAGGAACAGGAACAGAACAACAAGGAAGAGGAGCAGTTGGCAGAGGTGCCTTTGCCGAAGTGGAATGCCGGGAGGGGGCACCGCAAGACACCCCTCCTTTCGAGGCATGGGATCTAGCGCAATGTCGCTTGTTTTTCCCAACCATCCTGTGGTGTTGGGTCCTCGTTTTGAAGAGACGGTGCACCGCGTCTCCTTCCTTCCTCCTCCCCCTCCTCCCTCCTCCCCCATCCTGGCTTTTGCTCTCCCATGTCTCTGTTTCGGCACACCCCTCACACGTTTCGTGGCCCCATAGGGAGCTCCACCCAAGGTCCCAGTGGCGGAACTCGCATGGCGCCGCCGCCCCATTTTGGCACACCCCTCACATGTTTCGTGGCCCCATAGGGAGCTCCGTCTAAGGTCCAAGTGGCGGAACTCGCATGGCGCCGCCGCCCCATTTTGGCACACCCCTCACACGTTTCTCCACCTAAGGTCCTTGTTGCGAAACTCGCATGGCGCCGCCTCCCCATTTTGGCACACCCCTCACACGCTTCGTGGCCCCATAGGGAGCTCCACCCCAGGTCCCGGTGGCGGAACTCGCATGGCGCCGCCGGCACACCCCTCACACGTTTCGTGGCCCCATAGGGAGCTCCACCTAAGGTCCCACGGAACGATAGGCTCCACCCCTCGCATGGCGCCGCCGCCCCATTTTGGCACACCCCTCACACGTTTCGTGGCCCCATAGGGAGCTCCACCTAAGGTCCCAGTGGCGGAACTCGCATGGCGCCGCCGCCCCATTTTGGCACACCCCTCACACGTTTCGTGGCCCCATAGGGAGCTCCACCTAAGGTCCCAGTGGCGGAACTCGCATGGCGCCGCCGCCCCATTTTGGCACACCCCTCACACGTTTCGTGGCCCCATAGGGAGCTCCACCTAAGGTCCCAGTGGCGGAACTCGCATGGCGCCGCCGCCCCATTTTGGCACACCCCTCACACGTTCGTGGCCCCATAGGGAGCTCCACCTAAGGTCCCAGTGGCGGAACTCGCATGGCGCCGCCGCCCCATTTTGGCACACCCCTCACACGCTTCGTGGCCCCATGGGGAGCTCCACCTAGGGTCCCAGCGGCGGAACTCGCATGGGACCGCGGGAGACCAGCGCGCGTCGCGGGAATTCCGCGCTGCGCTCTGCCCAGAGCCTCGCTCGCCCCCGTCGTCGCTCTGCCCAGCGGCCACAGTCTTGCCCGCTATCACCCAGCCAGCTAGCACTCTCTCTGCTCCGCGCAGCGGACGACCCGCGCGCGTCGCCGGGACCCCTTCGGGGCGACCAGCGTGCGTCGCGGGGACTCAGTGCGGCGCCGCGACCGCAGCCATGGACATCGGCGTGCACGGGCAAAGAGGCAGAAAAAGAAGGGGAAGGAAGCGGGCGCGATCCTCGTGAGGGGCGTGCCGACATGGGCGTCGACATTGATGCACGTAGACTGATTCGCACGCAGACACATTCACAATCAGACTTACTCGCGCTCAGGCTCACCCGGTTTCAGTCTCGCGCACTCAGAGCGATCGTGTTTGTTCGTATTGGGGACCCCGCCACGAATTTCGGCACGCCCCCTCACACGGTTCGTGGCCCCATAGGGAGCGCGAGCGAAGATGAGATCCACAATCGCGGTATTCACAACTGCATATGGTTGGGTCCTTCGCCAGGCTAATTTTGGCGTCGGGTTGAGTGTTCCTTTTTTTTTGCAGCGGAGGTGCTGGATCAGAATCAGGCCAAAGTGCCCAGGCAGGGGCATCGACATGCTCAGGGGGTGGCAGTCGCCATTCTGAGGGCATCCCGCCTGTCGGCCTGCACCTCATGAAGAGTTTCACCAACTGCCCTGTCAGGCACACTGCCCCCACTGGTACCACTGGTGCTGCAGGGGAGGGGGAAGGAGTCGCCAGTCTCGTTTTTCTACGCGGGGCGAACGGCGAGAGGTGCACATGGAGTCGCCAGCTTCGTCCTTCTACGGGACGATTGTCGCGTTGGTGGGATGTGGGTCGCGTGTTTTTCGGCTGCCTGAGAATGTCGCACACGTACTGCTGGTCACCGGGCCGCCCTGAGTCTTTAGGCATTTGCCGCACGAAGGGTCAGGGAGGAGGGACGAGGGGGCGGGACGAGGAGGAGGCGGGAGGCGGAGGGCGCAACAACGAGGGGCAGAGCATGCCCAGGATGCATTGACGATGCTTCAAGACACTGTACAGAGAGGCATTGTCGATGCATCCTGAGGGGGGGACTGGGCATCGCACGGGCTTTCGAGGAGGGGACTTGGGACGGGAAGGTGCATATTGTACATCCTCCCGTCCCAAGCCACCTCCGCAAAAGCCCATGCAATGAACGATTGGTGCGTTGGTTAGCGCTCGGCCTGCTTCGCGGGCCCCATTTGGGGCCTGCCATGCAGGCGGGAGCTTTTGAAAAGGGGTGCGGACTCCAGCCACTTCGGACACGCAACAGCTGTTTCAAGATGTGAGTCGTTCCAGGAAGGGCCTTGCCTTCGAGGATTGAAGGAGTTGTGATCTCTTCCTTGGTGGAAGGCGGCGGAAGGCTGCGGAAGTAAAGCGAGGCCGCCTCCTCTGGCGGAAGCTTGCGGAAGCGAGGAGAAGTCAACGTCGGCATTCCCAAGAGATGTCGCATTCCACGAAGAAGCCCTTTTTGAACAGGAGCCGCCTTCCCTCTTCATATGTGGTGGTCGGTTTTAGAGTCTCGTTTTGAAATGTGAGGGGGCCTTAAGAAGCTAGAGACCCATATTGAGAAGGGGCCACCCTCGATCCGTGTAGCCGTTGTGTACAATTGCGCGCGGCGCTCAGGTGAAAACAGCATTCCGAAAATTCGACCGCCCTCATCGCTGCAGTTGCCGCAGGCTTGAAAGGCGAATGCGCGTGGTGACAGGACGAGAGACACGGTTCGAACGCCGTTCTCCCTCCGTCCGCGTGAGCCGCGCAGGTTTGGAGGACGGGGTGCGTGGCGCGAAAGGCGACAGTGAAATTTGGAGACGGTGACGCCCTCCGTCCGTGCAGCCGCTGCTGCACGCGTCCGCGTTTCGGGCCCAGGCGCCGGAGCGTGTGGGGCTTCAGGCGCAACGCCTGGCCCGCCCTGCAGCTGGCACGAGGCGTCACAAACGAGCAGTTTCGAGGGAGCGGGGCGGGGGCCCTTATGATGTTCGTGTTCGGGATCCTCTTCCTGGAATGATTTCGGTTTGGGTATGTGCATGAGGCCTTTGGCCTTCGGTGCAGGGGCTTATGTTCTCAACCCACGTTGTTGTGACCCTGTTCCGACTGTAGCCACGAGTCTGGTCGTGGGGCAAGGCGAAATTACAGATGAGTCTGGGGGATGGAGGAGTAAGAGGAAATCCCGGGAAGGTCGAGGCACTGCTCCGCGAAAGAACGGCTCGAGGAGACCCGCCCGCTCTCGGGCTCTGGCCGAGGCTTTCTTCGCCGCCGTCGTTGTCATTCGAAGGCTTCTCGGATG